TAAATTCCCTACTCGTACCGGTATGATCAGAACAGAATCTTTTTCAAAACACGATTTTGGCACGTTTCTTGGTATCCCTGTTCCCTTCACGAACAGCTGCTGCATCCACGCCTGACGTTCGTCCCGCCCCATCCTGTTTTGCTAAAATTCTGTGCAAACCAGGGTCGAGTTTGMGTTGACRATGCACATTGCACATTTGCACATGCACGGACAACCTTGCATCCCTGAATGATTGAATGAATCCATCCAAACTACTTCTGGCATTAGCGTTGCTSGCCGGACCGTCGCATGCGCTGATAACGCCCCTGCCGACCAAGCTCCATGTTGCGGTAACGAGAACAACTCCGGTGGTCCGTCCTYCGGCGTTTCCRGGGTCGAGTCGGCTGGCCGTAGCGGGTGGGACAACCAGGTCTCTGGAGGGGGAAGCCGATCTMGGTGTGAAAGAGAAACCCCTGCCCCGCGAACTGATGCCCATCACGCTGGGCGTCTTTGCCCAGATGCTRGGCGAGGGAATCTCCCTCTCGAGCCTGCCCCTCTACCTGACGCGCCTCGGTGCCACCCCCACGTCGGTGGGCCTGGCCATCTCGTGCTTCTCTCTGGCGCAGATGACCTTTGCCCCCGTGCTGGTCGGCTTGTCCTCCCGGATCGGTCGGTCGGTCGTCCTGCGCATCTGTCTCGCGGGCGCCATTGCCTCGTCGCTGCTCATTGCCTTTTCCGGGAGCGTCTRCGGGATCATCGCGGGCCGGACCCTCGCCGGGGTCTTTGCCGCCTGCGTTCCCGTGGCCCAGTCGGGCGTCACGGACGTCCTCGACAAGGACCAGACGGCGCTGGGGCTCAGCCGGGTCTCGGCGGCCTCGCAGCTGGGCGTCGTGGTGGGACCCGCGGCGTCCGCGATTTTCCAGGAGGCCTTTGGGGCGATGGGGCTCGCCCCCACCAGGTGCCTCCCGGCGGTCTTTTGCCTGACCTCCGTCTTCAAGCTCTGCGTCCTGATCCTGATGACCCTCATGAACCGGCGATCGGGGGTGCCCGCGTCTCCCGAGGCAAAGGCGGTGCGGGAGGAGGAGCCGAAGCAGGAKGAAACGACCGGGGACAGAAAGCAGGAACCGGGGGTCGGCAAGAAGGACACCGTCCGGTTTGGGCAGGGGATGCTTCGGACGATCACCATCGCCATGGGCTGGACGGCGATCCTGAGCAACTCCATCTACGGCCTGTTCGCKCCGARGTTTCTGGGTTTTTCCCAGCCCCAGCTGAGTGCTACTTACTCCGTCGGCGCGGCCCTGATGGTAGCGACGCAGGTCGTCTTTCCGCGCCTCGTCGCAAAGTTCGGCGAGTACCGGGTCTGCACCCTCGGGATCCTCGCGGCCGGGGCGGGCATCGGCGGACAGTCCCTCTTCCGGTCGCAGCCCTTCCACAGCGCGCTCTACCTGGCGAACCGCGGCGGTGCCGCGGTGGCGGACACGTCGACGGCCTCCCTCGTCGCCCGGCTGTCCGGAACCAGGGCGTCCTGCTCCCGGAACCTGGCGCTCCTCACGTCGACCCGGGCGGCCTCCAGGATCCTGACGCCCCTCCTCTCGAGCAAGATGTTCGAGGTGAGCTGCCGGAGGGGATCGGTGCTGCCCCCCGGCGCCCTTCCGTTCGTGACCGCGGCCTGCTTTGCCATGGCGGTTGCCCCGCTGCCGACCCTGCTCAAGAGGGCGGAACACCGGGGGAGCGATAGCTCTCGGACGAACGACAAGCACACACAATCTAGAACATAGAACCGGGGACAATTGGAGWATCAAAACCTTTTTTTGAATCACGAAATGAAACTTTGCTTTTTGTGTTCGCAATCGGTACTGTACTTGTAGTTCGAATCCGCACTACTTCTTGAACGTCTTTCGCGTTTCGGTAGTACGAGACCGAGTGGCGCAAAAAAATCTAGGCCCCCGCTTGACAAGTGTACTAGTAGTTGGGAGACGCGCAGCGATATGCAGCGATACGAAAAACTCATGTCATTCTATCGAAGATTTAAATTGAATTCCGACCATGCCGTGCGGTACACCAAACTACAAGGCTTGTAGCGAAAGCCCTGTTTCGGTGCCGACCGAGCGGCTTCTCACGGCGACAACTTCGGGACGATCGCGAGCCTTCCCGACGGCCAGCACCCGACGTACTGGAGGGTTCTGTGCCTCAGTTCTCCCAGATCGAGGCGGTGGAAGTTGTAGTCTTCCCCGGCACCCTGCCGATTGCGATCCACCAGCTTCCATTCCCCCGCCTCGAGTTTTTCCGGGATCGCGGTTGCCTGGCCCCCGAGCCAGTTGACGACGTCGTCGAGCGTGTCGTCGTGATCGAATCCCCTCGTGATTTTGGTCAACGACTGCGGCGCCTTCTCGTTGGTGGTGCCTTCGGCGTTGGTGGTGTTCGATACGATGCCGTATTCGACCGTAATCTGCGATCCCCCCTTGGTYGGCTCGGAGGGAAGCTTCGACAAGAACTTCTTTCTCGCCGACAATTCTTCGACGTCGTTGTCGGCRGCCGACAGTGCCAACGCCAGGTCCTTCCGAAACWGACGRAGAGCTCTGTCTTTGGAATACTCCGGCGAATTCTTCTGCACTTGTTCCAGCGCCGAGATCCCTAGGTAAAAGGCGGCGGCGTCGAAATGGGAGAGGGTCAGGGCCCTCCGGTTGTTGTAGTTCGGGTGGAAATTGACGGCTTTGAGAAAATCCAGGACTCCCGGTGCGCTGAGCGATCGMTGGAACATGGCGGTGGTCGTGTCGACGGTGTGGTACTTTCGATTGAAGGGATCGCCCTGGATGGTTTTCAGGGACCTCAGCAGGGTGTCGACCGAKAGGGARTAGGGTGCCACGCGGCTGGCACACCGCACGATGATGTCTTCCTGGTCGTGCTGGGACAACCGCTTGGGCATCTGCACCCCCGGGTGGGTTTTCGAGAGGGTCGGCTTTGGCTTCGGCTTTGGTTCCGTGTTGTTTCGGGACGCCGCCGCGAGGCCCGCGTTCCGGGACGCCGCCGACCGCTGCCTCCGCTGCCGGCCTCCGGTCTGGGTCCGGCCGGGTTCGGTTCGCAGGCTTTCCTGGATGGCGCGCTGCAGCTCGGCGTCTTCCCGCGCCGCCGCCGCTCCGGTGCGNTAAATTCCCTACTCGTACCGGTATGATCAGAACAGAATCTTTTTCAAAACACGATTTTGGCACGTTTCTTGGTATCCCTGTTCCCTTCACGAACAGCTGCTGCATCCACGCCTGACGTTCGTCCCGCCCCATCCTGTTTTGCTAAAATTCTGTGCAAACCAGGGTCGAGTTTGMGTTGACRATGCACATTGCACATTTGCACATGCACGGACAACCTTGCATCCCTGAATGATTGAATGAATCCATCCAAACTACTTCTGGCATTAGCGTTGCTSGCCGGACCGTCGCATGCGCTGATAACGCCCCTGCCGACCAAGCTCCATGTTGCGGTAACGAGAACAACTCCGGTGGTCCGTCCTYCGGCGTTTCCRGGGTCGAGTCGGCTGGCCGTAGCGGGTGGGACAACCAGGTCTCTGGAGGGGGAAGCCGATCTMGGTGTGAAAGAGAAACCCCTGCCCCGCGAACTGATGCCCATCACGCTGGGCGTCTTTGCCCAGATGCTRGGCGAGGGAATCTCCCTCTCGAGCCTGCCCCTCTACCTGACGCGCCTCGGTGCCACCCCCACGTCGGTGGGCCTGGCCATCTCGTGCTTCTCTCTGGCGCAGATGACCTTTGCCCCCGTGCTGGTCGGCTTGTCCTCCCGGATCGGTCGGTCGGTCGTCCTGCGCATCTGTCTCGCGGGCGCCATTGCCTCGTCGCTGCTCATTGCCTTTTCCGGGAGCGTCTRCGGGATCATCGCGGGCCGGACCCTCGCCGGGGTCTTTGCCGCCTGCGTTCCCGTGGCCCAGTCGGGCGTCACGGACGTCCTCGACAAGGACCAGACGGCGCTGGGGCTCAGCCGGGTCTCGGCGGCCTCGCAGCTGGGCGTCGTGGTGGGACCCGCGGCGTCCGCGATTTTCCAGGAGGCCTTTGGGGCGATGGGGCTCGCCCCCACCAGGTGCCTCCCGGCGGTCTTTTGCCTGACCTCCGTCTTCAAGCTCTGCGTCCTGATCCTGATGACCCTCATGAACCGGCGATCGGGGGTGCCCGCGTCTCCCGAGGCAAAGGCGGTGCGGGAGGAGGAGCCGAAGCAGGAKGAAACGACCGGGGACAGAAAGCAGGAACCGGGGGTCGGCAAGAAGGACACCGTCCGGTTTGGGCAGGGGATGCTTCGGACGATCACCATCGCCATGGGCTGGACGGCGATCCTGAGCAACTCCATCTACGGCCTGTTCGCKCCGARGTTTCTGGGTTTTTCCCAGCCCCAGCTGAGTGCTACTTACTCCGTCGGCGCGGCCCTGATGGTAGCGACGCAGGTCGTCTTTCCGCGCCTCGTCGCAAAGTTCGGCGAGTACCGGGTCTGCACCCTCGGGATCCTCGCGGCCGGGGCGGGCATCGGCGGACAGTCCCTCTTCCGGTCGCAGCCCTTCCACAGCGCGCTCTACCTGGCGAACCGCGGCGGTGCCGCGGTGGCGGACACGTCGACGGCCTCCCTCGTCGCCCGGCTGTCCGGAACCAGGGCGTCCTGCTCCCGGAACCTGGCGCTCCTCACGTCGACCCGGGCGGCCTCCAGGATCCTGACGCCCCTCCTCTCGAGCAAGATGTTCGAGGTGAGCTGCCGGAGGGGATCGGTGCTGCCCCCCGGCGCCCTTCCGTTCGTGACCGCGGCCTGCTTTGCCATGGCGGTTGCCCCGCTGCCGACCCTGCTCAAGAGGGCGGAACACCGGGGGAGCGATAGCTCTCGGACGAACGACAAGCACACACAATCTAGAACATAGAACCGGGGACAATTGGAGWATCAAAACCTTTTTTTGAATCACGAAATGAAACTTTGCTTTTTGTGTTCGCAATCGGTACTGTACTTGTAGTTCGAATCCGCACTACTTCTTGAACGTCTTTCGCGTTTCGGTAGTACGAGACCGAGTGGCGCAAAAAAATCTAGGCCCCCGCTTGACAAGTGTACTAGTAGTTGGGAGACGCGCAGCGATATGCAGCGATACGAAAAACTCATGTCATTCTATCGAAGATTTAAATTGAATTCCGACCATGCCGTGCGGTACACCAAACTACAAGGCTTGTAGCGAAAGCCCTGTTTCGGTGCCGGCCGGGCGGCTTCTCACGGCGACAACTTCGGGACGATCGCGAGCCTTCCCGACGGCCAGCACCCGACGTACTGGAGGGTTCTGTGCCTCAGTTCTCCCAGATCGAGGCGGTGGAAGTTGTAGTCTTCCCCGGCACCCTGCCGRTTGCGATCCACCAGCTTCCATTCCCCCGCCTCGAGTTTTTCCGGGATCKCGGTTGCCTGGCCCCCGAGCCAGTTGACGACGTCGTCGAGCGTGTCGTCGTGATCGAATCCCCTCGTGATTTTGGTCAACGACTGCGGCGCCTTCTCGTTGGTGGTGCCTTCGGCGTTGGTGGTGTTCGATACGATGCCGTATTCGACCGTAATCTGCGATCCCCCCTTGGTYGGCTCGGAGGGAAGCTTCGACAAGAACTTCTTTCTCGCCGACAATTCTTCGACGTCGTTGTCGGCRGCCGACAGTGCCAACGCCAGGTCCTTCCGAAACWGACGRAGAGCTCTGTCTTTGGAATACTCCGGCGAATTCTTCTGCACTTGTTCCAGCGCCGAGATCCCTAGGTAAAAGGCGGCGGCGTCGAAATGGGAGAGGGTCAGGGCCCTCCGGTTGTTGTAGTTCGGGTGGAAATTGACGGCTTTGAGAAAATCCAGGACTCCCGGTGCGCTGAGCGATCGMTGGAACATGGCGGTGGTCGTGTCGACGGTGTGGTACTTTCGATTGAAGGGATCGCCCTGGATGGTTTTCAGGGACCTCAGCAGGGTGTCGACCGAKAGGGARTAGGGTGCCACGCGGCTGGCACACCGCACGATGATGTCTTCCTGGTCGTGCTGGGACAACCGCTTGGGCATCTGCACCCCCGGGTGGGTTTTCGAGAGGGTCGGCTTTGGCTTCGGCTTTGGTTCCGTGTTGTTTCGGGACGCCGCCGCGAGGCCCGCGTTCCGGGACGCCGCCGACCGCTGCCTCCGCTGCCGGCCTCCGGTCTGGGTCCGGCCGGGTTCGGTTCGCAGGCTTTCCTGGATGGCGCGCTGCAGCTCGGCGTCTTCCCGCGCCGCCGCCGCTCCGGTGCGYCCGGGCAGCTCGATGGGGTTTCCCGCCGTTCCGACGGGCGAGCCGTGGGCCAGCAACCACTCCGTGGCCCGCGCCACGTCTCCGTCGGCGACGCGGAGGGCCTGCCTCGCCTCTTCTTCCCCAAAGCCCATCGCGGCGAGTTCCGAGACCCCCRCGTGGGAGGAATTGCCGGCGTTCGACAGGGACGACGCGGCGTTCGAAACGGCGTCGTTGACCCGTTCTCTCAGTCGGCGGAACATGGCGGGAGAACGCAACCAGAGAAGTTGTTGTTGTTGTTGTTGTTGTTGTTGTTGTTGTTGTTGTTGTTGTTTCCGTGCTCAAACACTGCCGGGGTGTGGGTGCGAGTGCGAGTGCGAATGGGAATGAGAATGAGAATGAGAATAAGGTCCTGCGGTGCCGCACTGCCTTGAACGGTTGCTGCGGTTGGATGCCTTCCGATTTCTTTTTGTGAAAAATACCGTTTCTGAAAATAAATTGAATTTGTCGTTCGTACCCTACAAGTACTAGGGTACGTACGAGTACACTGCCACTTTGCTTCTGCCAACAGAACGGAACGCGCTCGTCAGTTGATTCGTGTGATGTCGGCGAAACTTCAAAACCCATGTTTCTTTTGTTTCGATCGATCATCGACGAGCGAAGAAGAAGCAAACAGAAAATAGTAAATAAGAGACTATCGAAAATTTCTCGGATCCCCTTGAGTATTGAGTATCGTGAGTACGAGTAGGTACTGGGTACGTAYGGTATGGTAGTACACTTGTACAGTAGTCGACACAGTATTCGATTCGACTGATTCGACTCAAAAATTCAAYAGGAAAGAGCTTTCCCGCTTTTGAAACACGGAATGCGACAATGACGACGACGGAAAGGAAGAGGCACCGATTGTTTGGCGGGAAACTACGATACCCGCATCCATCGGCACACGCGCACACCCACACCCACACACCCACACCGTATCCCTAGCACACCAAACCCCATTCCGACCCTCGACACGATGAGCGACACCCGAACGGAACACGTCTGGGTCCTGTACGGATCCCAAACCGGGAATTCGGAGCAGGCGGCGGAAGACTTTTCCAAGGAGATCGTCGAAACCTTCGACTCCTCCTATTTCGAGGACCTCGGGCTCGAACCGGTCCGGGTCGAAACCACCTGCCTGCAGCTCGACGACTTCTTGGAGTACAGGCACGCCGCCTTTTCCAAGACCATGGTCATCTTCGTCAGCAGCTACGGGGTGGGCCAGGCGCCGCTCGGATCCCCCAAGTTCCGATCCTTTGCGGAAGAGMTCCTCGCGCTCGCCGACGGAGGAGCCGAGGGAGCGGGGTCGCTTCTCAAGGGTCTCACCTACGCCATCTGCGGACTCGGTACGTTGCGATTGCGCTGGGGGAAGACGAATGCGGATTCGATCGGTTCGTTTCCGCCCGTCCGACAGCTAGTTTGTTAGTTATTTGGTTTGTTCGTTCTCTCTCACAACCGMGTTTGCCTTGTTTCGGTTTGTTTTTCGTCGTTGTGTTTCGTTATGTCTCGCCGTTGCAACGAGGACAGGCGATTCCGGATACACGACGTACCTGGTCAATCCGACCACCATCAACAAGGCCCTGGCCGCCGCGGGTGCCACKCGGATCGGTGAAATGGGAAAGGCCGACGCCAAACAGATCGGGGAGGACTCCCAGGCAAACGTCATTGCAAGGTGGAAGAAGGAACTCCTGGTTCCGCTCGCAAGGTCCCTGGCAGCGGCGGCGGACGATGCCAGCGAGGAGTCGGCAGACACCGTGAAACAGATGCAGGCCTGCAGCATCCCCATTGTGATGAAAATCGATCCGGACTACACGCCTCCGAAGGAATTCGGGGGCAGGTCCGGTGGGGCGATACCCATGAATCTTTTCMTTGTGGCCGTCATCGTAGCCGTGATCGCAGCTCTATTTGTTACCGGCAAGATCGAAGCGCCCTAGAACTAGTGAAACACCAAATCGAAATGCTGTAAAATGTTTTCCAAAATACAACACATTTATACACAAACAAAACATCTAATAAATAATTATGTACACCGTGCATCGCGACGAAATGCTTCTTSCAACAACCCACGGCTCCRTTATATATTCAACACCCATTACCCATTGTTTACCAAGGTGTATCTTGCCCACTGTACTTCTTCAATAAATCAACAAAGTGGCTGTTGCCGTTCGGCATCCCTCCCTCCCCGAGAGCGGCCAGCTGTCCCATTTGACCAGCTGCGAATTGGTTTCGTGCGGCAACAGTCTTCAAAAACATTTCTTTGGCCTGTCGTTCTTTCAAGAGTTGCTCCATTTGATTGGCGCCGTACAAAGAATTCGACATTGACGAAGCAAGTAAGTTATTCCCAGAATTCAAAGGAAGATTGTTCATAAACCCACTGGCTGTCAAGGCTGCAKTTTGCTGTTGCTGTCGAGCCCTTTCCATGAAGAGCTTTATGCGTTCGTCCGCCTCTACTKTAGCCCGTTTTTCCATCATTTTTAGTGTAGCRTGGGCTTCCATAGGTCTTTTGAGCGACGCTTGTGACGACATAAGATTCATCTGCTCGTTGTTTGCTCTCAATCGATTCAGCACGGCACTTGCTTCGTTCTGATGCGCCGAGATAGCTCCAAATGTGGATTTATCACCTAGGCCGGAATGCCCCTCACCAAGTCCTTGCAAAGCCGATGAAGCTGAACGAGCACCATTGGTGGCCGCTATCTTCTTCTGCTCCACAGAAAAAGCAGTCATAATGACTTCTTGTGCTTCTGTATCTGACAGTTGATACATGTCGTCATCGGCTCCAGTATCTTTCAACTTGAGGAAAAACCTAGATCCTCGGCGTTTCATTCTATCGAGGATTGCTCTGCATTTGATGCGTTTCATTTCATYTGAATCTACCTGCTGCCCAACGTTGGCTTGAATCATAGTAATCAGATACGTGTTGCCTTCTTTCTCACTCGATTGCCCTCCTCTTAACACTACATCTTGGTCTCTAGGTGGCTCTTGCTTACTTGTAGAACCCAATCTTGCACCAACACTTGGTGCTGCTCCAGACATACTTTTCCGCAGTTCGTCATCGCTTCTCGTGGAATTTTCAACATTATCACCATCAGAAGTAAGATCTATTGTCCCCGGATGTTCATGAACAGACGTYCGAATCTCAGTTTCGAAACAACTTGTAACTGCGTGGAGYCAAAGCATGCAAAACAATCGAAGAGTTAACACATTGTRGACAATTTCGAGAATTGCAGCAGGCCGTCRTATATTTCGACTGGATCCCAAAAAGACGAAAAATACGAGAAACAATGGACGCACCTTTTTTGATTATTTCCTCTGGGTTGCATTCCGTCCAAAACAATCCATCGTTGCTCAGCTTAAGAAAACGAGAGCCGCCCTTTTGAAGCCGAGTCGTAATTTCGTTGACAATCATTCTCTTCACCGACGCGTCTGCAGTTTTGTAATGAACAGTAATTTTCTTGACGATCGATGCAAGCTTTTTGTTTCCCTGGAACAGGTGCACATTTGGAACCGGGACGCACAACACGTCCTGCGCAACGGGATTGATAGCCGTCCGATTGAGCAAACCGAACACCATTGGTTTCGAGGAATCAACAGATTGCGTGATCTGGGATGTGCTTGTTCGACGAGAATTGTTGTCTTTTGTCATCTGTGTTACAGTCATCTTTGYTACACGCTTCCTTTTCATGTACGTGCAWARGGAACGCCGTCCTTTGACGAACAACGGGTGAGAAACAACACCCCGATCGACCCCCCTTGTAATTCGCTTGAAATCGTACCCTTGGAGTTGACGAAGAAAAGATTTGAACTTGCTCTGACGGAAATAATTTTTTAACACATGAATCAACTGTGTCGGTTTGTGGATCTTAAAGCAATCGCCTCCCTTGTACCACGAAACAATGTCGGCATGGCCCATTCGTTCGGCATCATCCAACATGTTGTGGAGACGGGAAGGAAAATGGGTCGACCTCAGGTGGTCGGACCGCAACTGATCCTTTTGTGCTAAATTTTGGTGTTGGAAATTCAATTCCATCTTGAATGAATCTTTTCCRACGCTGCTATTTCGAGGATTCGTTGACTTTTGGGAAGACTCGGCAGGATCGGCATTGGTATCCGAAGAAAAGGGCTGCTCGGTTTCCGTCGACTGCCCTTCTTTTGCTTCCGACGCAGGAAGATCCTTGAATTTGGCAACAAAGCCAACTAAATCCTCTGCAATGGTCYTCTCATTGAGACTCAATTCCTTGCCGGCAGGTCTAGCTGCGTTTAAGTTTTCTTCGTCTCTCGAATTTTCCTCCAGACTATATTCGTCCTCTGTAGCTGTTGACTCTCCGTCGTCGTGTGGAATCTTGTGTTTGGTCGCGTCTTTGGCTTTCACGCCTTCGTTGTCAGACGAGGTTTTTTCTTCCGTAGGCTTTGCGTTGGTGGAGACACCAAGAATAACGGCGGCGATTTCACTGGAAGGACCCTTTTTCGTGGTTTCGGTCAGCCCTGCTGATGCTACCTTCGAAGAAGAGTCGGCGTCGTYRWTATCATCATTGTCAGAAAGATCTTTGTCCGTGTCCTTCACCTCTGTTTTTGCTTTCGCTCCTCGGCGGTGATCCGCTAGATCTTCCGAAGATGCCGAGGCATCTGATGAGTGTTCATTATCGGATGCCATTGTATTTTTTTGGGGATTTCTAGGGATGCAATAGTGCTGTGCGATAGGTTGCAGCTGCGTATCTTAGGTGAACAGAAGAGAGATCTTTCGTTAGAACAACAGCTAGATTCATTGAGATTCCCTGATGCGCCATTCCCTGATGCGCCATTCGGTGGAATCGAAACAGATCGAAACAAAAACTAGAGTGAAATGCCACTTCGGCTTTCGGCATGATGACGATGTACCRGCATCAAGTSCCCGCARGTTACGTACCGTCTTGTTGAAAGTTGCGGGTTAAAATTTAAAAATTCACGGCCAGATGGACGGCACGTGTACCTTACGCTTCGAATGTACTACACTTCGTAATGTAACTCGTTGCCAACACCACTTTAAAATGCAAGGCAACAAGTAGGAGGTGCAGCGACAATATTCCCTTCAGATGATATTTTGATGGATTGCGAAGTGTCTTGTACCCCTCTAGTGCTTTGTCGCTAGTTACAGTGTCTTTGTTGTACTGTGTCGTTGCACTCACCTCAAGTCAGAAATTCTTCAGCGCTATTTTTTGCTGGAACACTTCATAAGTACGGTACTGTATAACGAAACAACGACGAAACAACGACGAAACAACAAAAATGAGGGTCCAATCATACAGCACCGTACGGAGCGTTTCAGAAAACAACTCAGTTCATATGTACTGCGTGTTTTTTCCTCAGGCCATTGCAGTAGTTCAACGTACGTGAACCAAAAACCTCGCTCGCGAAAAAACGAAACGCTCTTTCGGAATCCCCAAACGTCTACCAAGTTCCTAAGGGAGATTGTTCGAAACGTTTTGGGATTAAAATTCGTGGTGATTGTGTGCCGTGGGTACTACGTTGCAACTCGTACACATCTTACAACTACGTAAAGGTACAGAAGCAACTGGAATACGGAAGAAGTAACAATGAAGTTGCATCGCGAATTAAAATCCAACATTCTTCTGATTCAAATCCTTTCTTCCGGAGTATGCCGGCCTTGTTGACCTGCATGGGCGATTATGTTCTCATGGCAGCGAAGGCCATTAGTCTGCATCTCCTGCACCAGTGACATCTGTTCGATATAAAAGACTATTACTACTATGCTAATTGCTTAACATCATTAAGTACAATATTCGTTTTTTGACTGAAAACGTTTACAGTATGGTGTTAAGGAAATATTACAGTCAACGTTCGGAACCCCCTAATTAACGAAAGTTCAATTGTTATTTTACGCGTACGGTAGTATTGTTTGATTTTTCCATACTACTGTACCAGTTTCGTAACAATTGAAACCGGACTCCGCCAGAGAGGAATAAGTAATAATTTCAAGTTCTAAACTTTGATTTGAAGTTATGAACTTCAAAATGTTCCGGTAGAAAGTCTACCAGGTTCTATTTCAACGTTCGGAACCCCCTAATTAACGAAAGTTCAACTGTTATTTTACGCGTAGTATTGTTTGATTTTTCCATACTATCTTTGTTCTTTTGGTTTTCGAGCTTCCTTAACAGCATATGGAAGTTCCGATTGCACCGACATGGTTCGACTCACAAAACACTTCTCAGTCCGGTACCGGCAATGGTAAGAGTGGTACATACGGTATGTAGTCGTAGCCAAAAATATTGTGTCAACGAGTCAACGAGTCAACGATCRCTGATTACCATTCAATTTTATTTTAAAATCAGAAGAAGGGAACAAATGCCGTCTATTTTAAAGCACTTTTAATTTGGTTCAATATTGCATAGTTGCAAAACTCGTACGGTACGAGTTACTCATTCTGGCGTCAGTATTATTTTTGGGGAGGGGGCATCATCGGAAATCACAACACTAACGGTATATCACTTCACAGCACTAGACTTTGCATTCCGTAACGTACGGTACGGATGATTGAAGCTGTCCTGATGAGAACAAATGTTGTCCAAGTTCAGCGGCCACTCAAGTTTTACCTTGTTTTCTTCTCGCTGATTGCGGTACTAGTTGCTTGTTTTACTCCATCTCATGCACAGCAGAAAAATGGCAACGGCAGCAGCGGCAAAGGCTTTGGAAGGAAGATATCGGAGAGAGCAGGGGCAGGTGCCGATACGACCCCCGAAGGAAGATATCTAGATGCGTTTGGACTAAAACTCGAAGACGGTAAGAATGGCGATCGAAACGTTCGTTCCTTGGTAGATCGATCACCGGGAGAAATTTTGCTTGCAATTCCCTCGGAAGAGATCATCACGGTAGAACGGATCCGTTCCCGCCTGACAGCGTCTTGTGAAACGAAACGAGACGACAACAGACCACACGAGGACGAGGAGGAAGGACTGGCAATCGGGTTGCTTCGATTGAAGTACGATGCATTGGATCCTTATGTATCTAACGTCTTGCCAAAAAAACATTTCAATGCATGGACAATGTCCCGTGATCTCTGGATGGAGACTTCGGCCGTCTTGCCGAGGTGCTATTTGGAGACCTTTGATGCGACGCGCCAGCGTGTCAATAGATTTGCTACGGAAACGGCGGCGGCAGCCGATCACAAATTCACGGTCGAAGACGCGCTTTGGGCCTTTTCCATGGTTCGTTCGAGATCGTTGGCGGTGCCAGAATTGAACGACGATGATAGTGGAAAAAGCGATCGTATGCCACTGGCATTGATTCCGGGTCTCGATCTTCTGAACCACAAGTTTGGGGTTGGAACGCAGCTACAACTCGTCGCCGGCGAAGGCATTTCGGAATCGAAATGGCTGCTGTCAACCTCAGATTCCATCTCGGCGGGAGACGAGGTTTTTTTATCCTACGGAGACGATAAGGACAATTGGAAACTGCTTCTGACRTATGGCTTTGCCATACCCAACAATCCCAACGCGGTTGTCTTTTGGACGTGGAGCGATCTCTTGGACGCTGCCCAAACGGTTCGACCGGACACCTTTTCCGATCGCGTGTGCCGACAGCTCCTGCGTCACCCGCAGCTCGAGGCATACACCGTGCCATCGGAACACCGCGCCACCTTTTCGTACGACGCCCATACGGGCACGCCCCGAGAATCCTTGTCGAACGGGCTGGCGATGCTAAACAACCTGGCGGCCCAACTGGGAAAACCCGAAGCCGACAACGACGCGCTGAGCACAGAGGTATTGGAGGCGCTCATCTCGCGTCGACTGGAAGAACTGCGGGAGGGACTGAAGCTATTGACAGAGCAACGAGAGAAACGGAGTGAGGCAACCGACAAACAAGAAGAATACGCGGAATGGGAATCGTTTTTCAGCTCTCTTCTCTTCGCATTGAAATCCGAGGAACAACAGCTACAAACACAACATTAATAAAAATGATTAGATTAGATTAGATTAGATCAAGATTTTAGCGTGTTCATCAAGGAACTCTGGAATGGTACAACCTTCAGAAGGTTTGCCAATGTGATTGTGAGGTAGGTAGATTATTCAGTCTGCACTGTGAATTCAGGTTTGTTCAATCTACGAATGACTATTAGAAGCAATACAGTCWWACAATATTTTGTTGGGAAATTGGAAACTTGTTGATTTTGAAAAGAAAGGCCTACATTTGAGTTCCAGTAATCRTTTTTCAATTTTATAACAGCGGCAGTACCGCAMACGTACTATTWTCACGGCAWAAAAGTACCACGAATTCCAGACATCGCTAATTTTCTTTAGGAATCATTTGTTCCMTGTTTGGTCTTTTCCGCTTCCGCAGCATGTATGTTGAATACTTGTTCGAGTGACGTTTGGCTGACACCGTACTCAGCCACCATCAAACGATCCTTGTTTGCCTCGACCGCAGCAAAGATATCACCGATACGCACACCCTTGGAGCTCACCTCGTATCGGGTCTTGGTATCTTGACGTTCTCGCAAAATGTTGTCGGGGTAGGTTTGATTGACAAAGTCTACCAATACACGCATGCGGAGCTCACTTGCAGCAAATTCGGCTAGTTCATCAAGATCGATTCCGCTTGGAGACTTCGCCTCTTTCCATACAAGATGACCTGCTGGATTCGGACTGTTCTCGGTAACATTGGCCATCAGGAACCCGTTTGGTGACAATTCTGTCAAGGCTTCTTCCATCTTCGCAAAATCCAAGTAGATTTCGTCTCCTTTCTCGATTGCTTCYTCCTCTGTTACACCAGCGAACTTCGCCAACTTCGATAAGTTATCAAGATAATCCTTGTCGGTCGTTTCGGTATTCTTGATTTTCATTTCTAATTGGTATCCTTGTCCAAACTTGCTCTTCAACTGCTGAGCAGAACCGAGGCATCGAAGATTTCCTCCAGCCATAATACCGATGCGAGGACAGAGAGCTTCGCATTCTTCCATGGAGTGGGTTGTCAAAATCACACTAGTTCTCTCCTCTAGTGGAACACGTTTATCCGACACCATATTTGATACCATTTCCCAAATCTCGCGACGGGCGACAGGATCGACACCGGTAGAGCACTCATCGAGGAATACAATCTGAGGATTTCCGATTGTTGCAGTCGCAAGACTAAGACGTCTTTTCATTCCTCCACTGTATCCGGCAGCAAGCCTGTCACTATCAGAATCGCTCAAACCAACCTGAGCTAGCTTTGCAGCGGCGGCTTCCTTTACTAGAGACACGGGAATGCCCTTGATGGAAGCGTACAGTTCAACGTGTTCACGACCAGTAAGATTCGTAAAGTGAGCATCAAATTGTGGACAGTATCCAACAGTGCGGCGTGTTTTCTCCGGTTCATTCGCTACCGAATATCCAGCTAGTGTAGCATCTCCACTTGAGGGAGGGAATTCAGCTGTCAGCATACCCATTGTTGTTGTCTTTCCAGCACCATTGATTCCAAGCAAGCCAAAACATTGGCCAGGGGGAATTCCCAGAGACAATGAGTCAACGGCCCTCTTTCCATTACCRTAAACCTTGCCAAGTTGACTAAGGACGATGAGATCGTCGTTAGCACCACCTGTTAGCACGCGCTGTTCCTCAGCGGCAACATCGTCATCAATTCCACTGCGATTTGATTCGGAAACCTTGGATGTTGAGCTGCAATCACAACAGAAAAGCTTTCTAAATATCATAACAGCTCGTGGGTTTGCAGCCCATTCGTCAATCTTCATTGCCAAAAGAAGATAGCCAACACTTTGCCARGCTAAGAAAACAATTTCCCAAAGACATGCTTCAGGATCCCAGGCTGATGTGGGCTGCCCRGCCAAAAAAGTGATCGTCTGGAGATTAATTGCTGAATAAAGACCACGAGAAAGATTGAAAGGTGGGAAAATTCTAAGTACCCACTCGACAATACTYGCAGCCAAAAGGAGATTCTCTCTCTTTTCAACAGGATTACTACCGATCAGACGTAGTATGAACGCGGCCAATGTTCCTCCAAAGGCGATTAGAAAGCCACTAATGATGAGGATTAGGTTGCAGACACTGGGACTTGTGAACATAAAAGAGACACAATATGAATAAGAAGCAACCGCTGGCCCAAATAGAATCAGTAGAGTGATGACTGCACCCAGTACCCCATCTTCGGTTGTAGTCAGGTTTGAAACGTCGAAAGCAAACATGAGGATCACGGTAATCCAGCAAGGAATTTGATAGTTTGCGATATCCCAAAGCCAAGTTGAAAGCCAGTAKGCCGTTGGTTTGACCCCTGCAACAGTTTGCAAATGTTTCGCTTTGGATTGCTTCTCTTGAACAACAAACGTTGCAAAAGATCCAGCGATGAAAGGAAAACTCAAGATAATGAGGAACCACGCGGTGAAAGCATCGTCTGCTTCGCCAAGACTATCCTCGTAACTTGTCACCGGCAGAGGATGAATCACAGACTGAATTTTAAAATCACTGTCACCGACAGCCTCCCGGACAAGAGCCTCGTCGGCTAGTTTCTGATAAAGTGGCGCAACATGAATTGCAGTGTGATTGTATTGAATGACATAGCCTATTCCTGCCTGGGCCTGACAGTCAGCTTCCGTTGAATAGTTTCCTGCCTGTTCAATACACCTCAATACGGCAGCCTCTGAGTAGTTCATTCCAACAACGTTAACTGATGATGGCATAAGGTCTTTGAGGAAGTCCAACTCAAAACCCATCCCCATGAGCTGAGTAATATTGAAAGCCGACGTATCAACACCAAAACTTTCCAACATTGGCTGAATACTTTCCATATCGATTCCATCCATCATTCCAGCGAACATATCCATGGGGGATCCGACGGAGTATATATCATACAGAGTAGCTGAATCGGTGTCATCCAAAACCGTGCTCGACAAATCGTGCTGAAAAAATATTCCTCCGTATTGGGTTGCTGCATATTCATAGGCAGTGTCCGAGAGACTAAAAGACGACTCATTCACACTCGTTACAATATTTCCAGCAGGCTCGGCACCGGCCTCATCAATTTGTAACATAACGTCTTCGTATGAACTAATTGAGCATTGAGTTCCATTCCCAATGTAGCTTTGTGTTCCGCAAAAATAGTATAGTTCGTCCGTGGCTTCCGAAGATACAATCGGGACTTTATAAATGCATTTGCCAGTTTGACACGCGAAGTTGTCACCAGTGTTGAAGGCAATAGGATTTTTYGGCCCTAGGTCTGCTTTAATATCGACATTGTAGTCATCGAGGTCCATAACTAGAGCATCTAGATTTCGCTGGGGTGTGACGAAGGCAAATAACAAGAACCCAATCAAAACGAAGACACTTGGTAGAATAGTTGTGCAACACCACGCCTTCCTGTCTCTCTTGAAATTCATAGCCCGTTTTTTGAACAAAGCAGAAACATGACGAGAAAATAATCCATCGTTTTCTAGTTCCATTTTCGACCGGACCGATCTGTCGTTCTCGACCTTTGAAGAAGCTTCCTTCTCAACAAGATCTGCTGACTCGAGATGGGCCTTCTCAGGAGTGGCACCACGAGCTACTAAGAGAAAGACTTCGTCAAGGGTGGTAATTCCGACTCCATAAGTGACAATTTCGCTATTTGCAACGAGTTCCTCAAGCTGGTCGAACATCGGTGCAAAGTTTKCTGAAGCCCCCAGYGGAAGTTGAAAACTAATTTCTGAACCAACATTTGTGAGTAGATTTGCAGATTCAACGCTACCGAGAACACTGTTCTTAATCTTTTCATCGATCTTTGATACGGCGGCTGGATCGTCGTCACTTGGSGTACCAGCTTTATTTGCAGAACGGCTTTTCTTTTCAATCGTCAACTGATATCCAACACCATACGTTTTTTTCAGAAAAAGTGAACTTCCAAGGCAGCGCAGTTGCCCCTCGGCCATAATTGCAATTCTGTCTCCAAGGATATCAGCTAAGGGACAAAAAAGGCCGTGAGCAAAAGAAATTACATGTYTCWAGKGTCGACCACTTCACTTGACATTTTTCGGAAATACTTACCTTCGTCCATGAAATGAGTTGTGAGAATGATACACCTATTTTGTCGATACTGACGAATTACGTTCCATGTAAACCTTCTCGAGAAGGGGTCCTATGTAATATAGGCATTGTTGAAATGAAAAGCAAATTAGTGTCTGGARAAAATCATTTCCCACAACCCAGCGCATTCTTAACATGGGATGCAGTCACTTACCATTCCACTTGTAGGCTCGTCAAGTAGGACAGTTTCACTTTTTAGGGCGCGAAAAATAATCGAAAAAATCAAGTTAATATTCCATTCATTACATGGCCTTCGTAAAAGTACATCAGTTCGGTAGTGCTTACCTATCGCCACAGAATGCAATTGCTACAGACAGCTTTCGCTTCATTCCTCCCGAAAGGTTCTTCGAGAGCGTGTTCCGTTTTTCCCCTAATGCTACATCTTCAATGCTAGCGTCAACTTTAGCCTCCGCTTCTTTGTAAGACATCTTGGAGTACATTCCCTTAATTCTTGCGAAAAAGGCAACATGCTCGCGCACAGTTAACTGAGGRAAGAGGCAGTCATGTTGTAGGCAAATACCAATGCCTTCTCTGATTCCATCCATTTCTGATCTGATGTCCTTCCCTCCAATGGTTGCATAACCTGAGGTTGGCGCCAGCATGCCAGTCAACATTGAGATCGTGGTAGTTTTTCCTGAAAACACAAATTCAAAATGTGACGAATATGAGACATTGTATGATGTTAATTACTACAGCGGTTGAGATACAAAGGGAAAAAACATGCGTACCTGCTCCGTTGTGTCCCAATAATGCAGTGATCTGACCCGAATAAAGGTTCATTTGCAAGTCGTCGACGGCAGTTTTTTCACCAAAAACTTTCTTCAACTTTCGAATTTCGATTCCTTTTCCCTGAGATCCTTGCTCCCTCAAAGCTGACGAAACGGGCTCTACAGGGACATCAGCTGGATATTCAATTTCAGAATCATCCCCAGTGGGAGAAGATGCTCTTCCGGGGCACCAATACGACATAGAGAAAGGGAAATACCATGGCTGGGCTTGTCCGAAATCTCCTCGAGAGACTCGATTTGAGTACCAGCTCGCAACGCCCCAAAAAATCATATCAAAAAGCAAGTTGAAAAGGGTGTTTGCGAACGTGTATCCGTTGGGAGAGTCCGTTTCGACCATTGAGCTCACGGCGAGACCGACTCCAGCATCCTCTAATCGTCCAATTTCTTGCAAACCAAATGCAAATGCTCCCACCGGGTGGAGTGACACCATGGATATAAGTCCAGCACTGCTGTTTTGAAAATCAGCCACAAGTGTCAAGAAGTACCCAACAAAAAATACCAAAAGGCTAACAAGAGTTGCTCGTGTCGCCTTGGAAAAGAGCGAGGCCAAAAACATGCAAAATGTGACAATAGCGCCAAAGGTGAACATCCAGAAAAAGAAGAGAAGGGCACCTGATGACCCTTCCCAGAGTAAMGTGCTAACAGCAGCAGTTCCAATTGCAGTGACAAAATGAAATACGAAGAAAAAGACAAACCACGACCATCCAATATCCGACTCTTTGACACTCATCATCTTCATTAACTCTTTTTGACGAAGTTCCTTTTCCAGAACGATATATCGAACCATTGCAGACACCGGGTACAAAAGACCCAAAGTGATCAAGAGAGGCGCAAATTGATTGATCGTGGCGTAAAATCCTAATTGAAAGTTCACAAGGCGAATCAAGTGAGTTGAACCAAAAATATATAGTTCGCGAAGCACCACAAGCTTCGTTTCTGCTCWTAATTATTTTTTCACTTCCTTACCATTCACAACGTAGCTTTTCGACGGAAAAGGAACAAATTGAACGCCGCCATCCGACACTGAATATCCTGCGGCGGCTGCACCCGAATCGGTGATGATAAAATCGTGAACCAATCTTTGAATTGTGAGGAGACCATTGGCCGCATATCTAACCGTACAGCTCGTTCCGTCCGGACCAACATCAGGCGTTCCCCCGACAAGGTCTGGGCAAGATTCGTCGTCTCTTCGTGCAAACGTTTCAAACAATTTGTCGGTGGGGGGCGTCGTAAGCGTTGCAGGACGGCCTTCTTCTTCGGGTGCGTTGAAGCCAGTCGCGTTCGCTCGGATTGCATAGTTGTAGTTAATCGTTGGGTCGCTTTTCCCATCGAAAACTACCGCCAAGGCGAGCTTTGGCACGTCTKCTCCGTATTCTTCAGCTTTGACATACTCCTCGACGGCTTTGTTGCTGTCCATCATTTGGACAAACTCAAAATCAAATGGCAATGACGAGCTGTCCGCCAAGACTGGGTGTCGTTGGTAAATGTAATCACGGAATGCTTTTGCTTGTTCAAGTCCCACAGCATCGTCCGAGGTCGCTGGTGCCACRCCCAAAGCCAGATATTCGCAAAAAGGAAGGGCATCTTCACCGTCCTCCTTGCAAAAACGACTGTCGCACTTGACAAATGGAACTTGCCAATTGTATCCCGAGTCGGCGATACCACTGATTCCCAACTTGGATTCAGCACCAAAGGTTGGTGGCATTCCATCTGGCATCGACGACGGCGGCGATCCTTCGCCGCATACTCCACAGTATGCGGGACAAAGTTCGTCAATCGAAGTTTCTCCAAAATCCGTTTGGTATACACCACCACAGCCCGAGCTGTCGGGCATGCTGACCAGAACCTCGCAATCGCAAATTCCTCCCATGGTACAAGCAGAAAATTCCGATAGGTTGTCTTGACACGTCGTAGTTTGAAGAGYGCGCCCAGCGAAACTGCTCCAATCAAACGAAAACCCCTCCGTAGGCGTACACTTTCGYTGTGCTTGAATGGCCGTAACGTAATCGGTGAAAGAGAAGAATCTGTACGCATCGTTGTTGGTTGGGAAAAACGCAGGGATTTCTTCGGGTGCGAACGATTCAGAATCTTCCACGGCCCCCTTGATCAACACTAAAAACCAGACAAAGACTATGGGCAAGCAAAGCTCAAAAACCTGCRATCATTTTAATATGGAGCGAACCAATAAGGCAATGAGAATGGTAACGCATGGATGCCGGCAACCAAGATATCATCAAACGGAGGATAATGACAAACAAAGTCAGTTCAATTGATTCCAATCGGTCGTCCAACGTGCGCATAGGAATRTCTCTGAGGYCAAGAAACGTAACGAAGAACTGCAGATCCGTTTTCCGGATTCTTCTTACCGTTCCGACAATGTTGCGACGACGATAAAGCAAATCGCGTCGCATTAATGCACACCATGCTCTGGAACCAATCATGGTGGGAAATAGTTGTTCTATGAAGAGGCCACTTCTTCCGATCAGTGTCTTTGTTGTAATCCACTTGTAACCAGCCAAAATAGGTTTCAACAGGCGCGACGAAACCTTCGGCTTTCTGATAGTCCCTGTGAAAATTTGTAATCCTGTATTGTGTTAGTCTCCACGATCCAAATTCAGAGCAAGCTTTGTCAGAAATCCGGAAGCACGATCCGTCGAATCGAAGCACACCTGCCATGATTTACGGTACTGGCTGAAGTGGACGCGGACATCAAACTAAGCACAAAATCATGGTTGACATTAATTATCAACGAAAAAGGCTCTTCTTATCATTGTTTCGTCACTTCCATTTTTACTTACTTAGTCAACTTTTGGTATTTAGACAAACGTCACAGGCGCTGGCAGGCGCTCATCGCGTGCATGTTCGCCGTGTATTCGCCGGTACTTATTGAAAGGACAATGACGTACCGTACTGTGGAATTTGTTGTGAATACGGGAAAAGAGAGTTGGCCTGAAACATTTCAGTTCCATTTCTTTACTGAATTCCCATTCGCCCTTGAAAACATCCATTTTTTATTAATGTTCCCACCTATTTTTAACGAACGAAAACCGGCAGAATGGAAGATCAATAATACCGTGTGGGTACATGTAACAAAATATACAATAATAAATACAAAGTACAAAGTGCGTAGGATTCTACACACACACAAATTATCGCTAACTCGCTAAAACACAAGTATTTGTAAGATTGAGCCTTACTACTGGAGGGGAAATACCAAAAAACTTAGTACATTTGAGGTACGAGTACGTACTCGTAAGAGTGCTTACTACTGGAAAATAAAGGTACAACAAAAAACCTGGAAGTCGACAGTACTAAGAGTACTGCTTACTACCGGAAATAAACACCTCCACACGAACTCCTTCCTACTGATTACTACAAGCACCTCAGGCCCAATACTACTGGTACTGGGGGTGTTCCTAACTGTGTTAATAGGAATACTGCTTACTATATCTTAACAGCTATCTAACATTGCTCTTTTATTCAGGATAGCACTACACGTAACACCGCCACGAATAACACGGAATAACACGGAATAACACGTAGTAGTAACGAATCGATTGCTCCGAATCGATTGCTTCCTTGCTTGTTGTTGCTTGCTCTGCTCTACACGAATAACACGGAAATATAGTACTACGGATCGATCGCTCCCTTGCTTCCATACGGATCGATTGCTTCCATACGAATTGCAGCAACGAATCCAGCAGCAACGAATCGCAGCAATGAATCGCAGCAACGAATCCAGCAGTAACACGGAATAAATCAATCGATTGCTCCGAATCCGAATCAATTGCAACAAATCGATTGCTCTGAATCGATTGCTTTGCTCCTTGTTTCCATACAAATCGATTGCTCCTTTGCTTGCACAAACACCACGTATAGCACGAATAACACAGCAACGAATCGATTGCTCCCTTGCTTCTTGTTGCTTGCTTCATACTACGAATCGAATCGCAGCAACAAATCGATTGCTCCCTTGCTTCCTTGCTTGTTGCTTGCTTCCTACGAATCGCAGCAACAAATCGATTGCTTGTTCCTCCTTGCACTGAATCGATTGCTCCGAATCGATCGATTACTACTAGCTCCTCAGTCTTGCATGTCCCCCACTCTTTTCATCCTTCCTCATCTTTTCAATCAGCTTACTGACAGGTAGATATCCATACACCTCATGGATCCTTCTAACTGCAGAAGTCACTGTGTACCCTCTCTCAGTAAGCCTCTTCATACACTTCNTAGTAGTAGTACTAGTAGTAGTAGTAGTAGTAGTAGTAGTAGTAGTAGTAGTAGTAGTAGTAGTAGTAGTAGTAGTAGTAGTAGTAGTAGTAATATCACCTCCTCGTCTTGTGGGCTGTAACTCCCCTTGTCCTCATGCATGCAAAGAGCTGCAAGAGCATTCTTGTCTGCCACCATCCTTCTGCCCATTTTCTTCTCTCCTCAATAGTGACCATTTGTATTACTAGTACCACCAGCAGTACTGCAAGTACTAGTAGTACCTTTAACTATGTTAATAGTAGTACTAGTAGTAGTAGTAGTAGCCTATCTGAACAACACCAAATTGTACCACCACATAAATTGATTCAAATCCCCTTCTTCTTCTGGTGTCACCACCACTTGTTATTTGTCTGTTACAACACCAGAACTCATCATCAGCAACAGTGCAATTATTAATTTTGCTGAACAAAGCATACTCTAATGCATTTTCCAACTTCACACTGGTACCTCGTCATTCAGATTGATAGAAGTGTAGTAGTAGGCACTATTGAGCACTGGTGCTGCTGCTGTGCATGTACAACCAATTGTTCCCATGGGAACAAGCCCATGATTCAAAGTCCAACTTAAAAGAACAATTCCCACTTCATTCCTTTTCACCAGTGCTGATATGACTCAGTCATTGTTTCAAATGATGGGGGATATTAGGGCCCAAGACCTACCACTCTGATGTCCAAGATTTGGTTGCCCATTCTAATACAATAAATACTATTATTACTAGTAGTAGTAATAGATTATTATTATTATTATTATTATTAGTAGTAGTAGTAGTACTAGTAGTAGTAGTAGTAGTAGCTGTAGTACTGCAAGGCAATTATCTTGCAATAGTAATTTTATAATTGCTTTCCTTGTTACTATTTGTATTATTACTAAAACCAGTACTACTACTATCTAGACTAGTATTACTAACAGTACAAGTAGTACTAGTAGAAGTCCACCAATCACTGATCCAGCAAGAGACAATTGTGTACAATATGGTACAAAGAGAAGCAACAATTTGATCACCACCAGTACTGGCTCCTACTTCTTCTTAACCTACTACTTTACTACTAGTACTACTAGAGATCTTTGGTTTGTGGTTTATTTTCAGTACTACTAGTACTTGAACTAGTGGACAAGAAGTACTACTAATAGCAGTTGTTGGTAGTAAGCCCATATCAGCATTACAAAGTGTTATGAAGGATGTTCTTTAAAGCTATTGTATTGGGCAAGAAAAAAACAAGGTTTGAACCTCAGCAGGTACATTTATGCAGCCCTGCATACCTTCAAATAGCTAATAAATAGCACCCTGTAAACCCTAAAGGACTAGAATCCTCTCTCTGTTACAAAGAAATGAGGATGCTTACTCGTCTCTCTATTGACCAAGAACTGTTGGGGACCAAGATACAGCTTCATTTGTCTGTTCAGGATCAGAACACCTAATCACAATTCTTAAAACATAGTGCCTTGGATTTTGGACCCTCCTTATTTTTTTGCAACAACACATGCTGAGACTAGTAACAACTTTTCTTGCAGTAGCACATGGCAATAAAGCAAACATCAGCAGTTTGAGCACAATGACAGACTCACTCAACTTGTTGGATTAAAAAATTCAAGACTAGTACAACAACTGAGCACCTGCTGCATTGTGTGTGAATTTAGTTTTTTGTCAAAGTGGATATTACACTTGAAAAAAGAGGGACCAAAATGTAAGGTTGGAATGCTATGAGATGACGGAGCCAATTTTACCATACAACATCATTATAATGAAGTGCTTGAAAGCAAAGGTGCTGTTAGTAGTGATCAGTTCTCATAAGTAATATTAAATTTTGCTTAACAGCACCACCCCATCTACAGGATCTAGAGACTTCAACATGGGATCTAGATTGCAAGTGGAACAATAGATGCTGTTTTCTTGCCTTTCCACTTTTTCAGTAATGATGAATGTCACTTCATCTTCCATTTTCAATGTGGGTGCTCAGATGGTTATGAAAAATTCAGACCTCCTCAGTGCTATCTGCTATAAATCTGAATTTATTATTCCCACCAGCACCATGAATAGTACATCCACACCAGTATGTGGAAGGATTTTTTTCTCTAGTCAATTGGTCCTTTCCTCAATGAGTCATCACCACTAGATCTACCAGCTTTCAACCCCAACCCCAACTTTTTTTGACCTCACATACAAGAAGACAGTAGGACTAGATCTAAGTGATATTAGTCAAAATCCTAATTTTGTCAACCAAAAACTAAGAAATCTTGTTACCAGTACACTACTACTATTAGTACTACTATTAGTCAGCAGTAAGCCTTCCAGGGATGTTAGATATTCTTGATGGTGAGTGACGTGGTATCACCAGGAAATAGTGAGGTAGTAATAAGAATCACCAGCACTTGCTGATATCCGGAAGACGAGAGTATTTCTGATAGGAGAAATTCCAATATAATGAAAATTTGGGGATGGGCTTGGGTAGTAGACACCATGCTGGTGCCTCATTTGGATAAGGAATGCTACTACCAGATTGAAACTGATAATGCTAGTAACATTAGCTACCATAGTACAGTAGCATTTCTGTTTGCTCCAGAATTTTTGTAGTAGTTTCTTTGTCCAAATTGGTAGAAGCATGATATCTTTCCTTCTTCTACCACCAGAGAAAAATCCAATACTAGTACAAGTACAATAGTAACACCAAAATGCATAGTTTGAAAAAAAAATTAACAAGGACTCAGGACTCCTCCTCTTGCTCCTGTGCTCAATCTTGTAATTCACCAAAATAAATAATTCAAAATTAGTACAGGGACTCAGTGCTCCTGTGCTTGCTTCTGTGCTCAGCATTTTAATTCATAAAAATAAATAGTTCAAAGATACAGTAGCTCCTCCACCCTGTGCATTGGTGTGTACTACTGTTTTTGCTCAGAAAATAAGTTCACACTTAACGAACAATTTATGTTGCAAGCAAAATATGTGTGTATGATCTTCTGTATCAGCAGAATAAATAGATAAATAATATTTGAAAAACAGCACAGGGACTCAACAAAGCTTCTGCTTGTTTCAGCAGCTCCTCTGTAGTGTGTATTTGGTTGTACTGAGCACTGTGCTTGGAAAATCAGTTGACCATTTGCAAATCCTTTATTTTGCAAGCAAAAGACATGTCTCCTACAAGTACTACTATCTTCTAAAATGTACTATGTAGGATGCTGATGCACGGAATTTTGTGGATAAAAGGATGCTTGCTAATTTGATACAGAGGAATACAAAATATACCCTCACAACAAAGTACTCCAATTTTTGTATTCTAGTAGTTTAGCCAAACTACTACTATTATCGTTGCAAAAACTGGG